CAATCAAGTACACATGCATCAATTGTTTCCTGTAAGATACACCATATTACTTCAAATATAAAACACCCTCAAATTTAAGTTGCATCCAGTTTTTGAACGTGGTTTTTAGTAAAAAAAAATTATAAAGCCGAACATTCCTCAAATTTAAGACTCCCCTCGATTTTTCAACAAGAAAAAATGTGTAAAATGTGCATCTTATATTCAAAGCAATATAGTATCATGAAAAAATATAACAGCGAACTCTCTAATAAAACACAAAGTTACCAAACTTCAGTATTTTTCTCAGAACCTTTCTGCGAATCAGTGTTCATACTTTGCATAGCCCAGGAAACTTCCAGGTTCAGCATACTACTACATTTGTATCATGCATGTTTTTCCAGGCTGTGTGAAAAGTATTTCACTTAGCTTACATGCTTCTCAGAAGACTGCAGCACCATATGGAATAGTCTGTAGCAGTTTTCTGACTGCAATAACAACATATTTTAGGGAACAGTAACTGAGTTTTGAGTAACCCCTGAAACAGTTGACACAAACACGTTCTTCTTGTATTTCACACTTTCAATTAAAAAAAAAACTGTACATGCAAACAATATTCCCTTCTTGCATTCAATTCACTGTGATCCTCTTGAGGGCATAAAGAATTTGTATCACTGCTGCCAATTTCAATTGTTTGGTTGTGCTTAACATGTGCAGCATCACTGCAGAGATTCACCATAATAATAAGTTAAACCTACCTACATGTGTCACATTACCAGTAACTAATTAATTAATGCACAGTTGGTACCTTAAGATTTAAGAGCTACTCCACCCAAAATCTTATTTCTTCAAGTCAATGTCTATTATTTATGAGGCAACAGGAAAAGTGGACCCTTCAGTGACATCAAGAAGGCTTCATTTCAAACCCGCATAAGATCTTTACTGCAAGATACTTCAACATATCAAACTTTAGCTGAAGATGTCTTCTGGAATGTGATACTGTGTAGTTCAGTACAGAGGTAACAACATTTAAGAGAAACCTGCTGTCCCATCTTCAAGGTAGACGATAGGGTCAACAGATTTCTGCAAAATGCTAGTACCTATCTACCTAACCACACAATGTCACAAGTCTGAATTAGCCTGATCTTTGCAGTCACTGGCATTGGAATGAGAAAACTGTAGTGCATATATGCGGTGAGCACTTCCCTTATTCCACATGAAGACCAAAAAAAGAACATCTAAACATTTCATGTCAAAATCTGCAAACAGGTAAGAAAAATTAGGTTCACTGTCCCATCAAGAAAAACAGAATACAGAAATCCTTATTTAGGATCTTTCTGGGTGGGTGGGGGGTTTATTTGAACACTGAACAGAGCTAAATCTAACCAGAAGCAATTTAAAGCTCAGATTATTAACTTATGATAATGGAAACTGAACCTTATGGAGGAAAACATTCTAATCATGCTCATTACTTTATGCACCTTAACATGCACTTTTTCAGTCAACTGATAAAAATCCTTTAACTCTACAGACATATCCAACTATTTTTAAATACAAAACATCATACATTCAGACTTTCATAAGTAAAAATACTGTTCTTTTATTTTGTTCCACAGATGTACATACATCACAACCTGTGTCACTTTGTACAAAAATACATGAGCATGTGTTTATTGCATTCCAAAGCCCCCTGAATATCAAGGCCTCCCCTGCCCAAAATGCTTTTATATGCATAGAGTTTCTTATAGGAGTATTACATTCTTGTATACAGTACCCATTTCTATTGTTTCCCCAACTGTACCATCAACCATCACTCCTCAAATTAAAAACAATATATAAATATGAAAAGTAGATCACCGACAGGTTTTAAATCTGAAGTTTATGTCCCATTAACAAAGCTTAAAGTGATATACTTATGAACGGCTGCTTGAGTAACAGCTCTAAAATAGACAAAGACAAAAGACACTCCTGTGAGCAAGTTCCATACCATGAAGACATATATGAAGCATGGAGGAAAAGCGCCATCCATTCTTAACTGCTTTACATGCACAGCCCACTGTACGTACATGAAGGTTATGTAAATGTCTACCAACACATTATCAGCTGTGCCATGCCTTCCCACCATGGTAGCACAGGTTCAATCCCAGGTCATATCAGATCTGTGACGGAAAAAGAGGCACTGGGGCAAGTTTTCTCCAAGTCCTTCACTTTCTCCTGCCAATTATCATTCCACCAACTGCTCCACATTCATTAACTGTCCTATCATCCATTCCTATGCAGTATCACACTAACAGTGTTGTGAAATAACCAACTATAAAGAAGAAGGGTGGCAAAACAACTAGCTATATGCTCTGGCTGTCTTATCCCAAGTATTCATTTGGCAAGATACTGATGGGCCCTGGATCTGCTCTGCATCTGGCACAAGAGAAAAAATTCTAATTCCTCTACAAGGAATTAAATTTTGGGCACTCTTAACCGGGGAACTACATGGAGTATTCAGCTTAATATTCTGGTTGCTTTATTCCCAAAAATCTTTCGCTTCCAACTGAAGAGAAAGCTGGGTGGGTGCTGTGAGCAGTCAATCTGTACATGGTGCTTGGGAAATCAGCTCATCTGTCCCGCCTGAAGTTCCTAACTCTACTAATGAACCATCCTCACTCTATTCTTCATCAATGCCAAACTTACATGAAAGTCTAATATAAATAGTAGCATCCAGTATCAGGACAGGTGATTATACAAACATGACATAAAGGAAAATTGTATTGAGAGAATGATAAGTACAGCCTTCTGCGCTGTTTGGACTGAACCAAATGTTTCTCTGACACACTGGGCTACATCTGAACCACACAGCATTACAACCAGAAGACAAAACTCTTCAGACACATCTGTGAGAATCATAGGTATAACATCACAATGGGGTTACGTCTTGCCTTGCTACTTTTCCGACTTTCTTCCATCAGTTCTTTCTAACTTCCCATTTCCTTTTTCTTTTAATACACAAACACATATATATGCTGACTTTTCCTGTGCTAGTGACTAATTATTTTGGGCTCTGTACAAGTTACCTCCGCTTTCCCTGTTGCCTGCCATCCTGCACACAACTACATTACCAACACAACACTCATGTGTTAAGTCCCACGATGCTAGCTATTCATCACGTGTTACAAGGAGACGGAGCGTGTGCCACATATTGTGATGAGACAGGTCACCAGTATCACAGCAAGAGGAACTGGGAGGGCAGTGGCTAGGTTGTAGATCGGACAGTATGGACACTGACTGCTCCCACAAACCTCACAGATGTTCAGAATGTATGTGCTTAGCGAGTCAAAGATGGTCTCGTTGAAACGTTCTGCAATATGTACAAAATCAGTGCTTTAACTCCAAGCTCAAAATTATTAGTCAGCTCTTTCAAAGCAAAAATTGCACCACAATGAGAGCTTTAGTACCTTCTCTGCTTCAATGATTCTGCAGAAAATTTTGTTCTTGGCCTTGGTGATAAATGGAATAAAACACTTTCATGTCCCCCACTAACATCTATTAGAGTACTGTCAAATTTCTGTTGCGTTAATATATTTTCTGTGGATAGTTTTACAATGACATCAATATCTGGACTATTTAGCATTCAGTGACAGGATGAGAAGATGAAATGGAACGATGTTTGGAATGAAACAGTTATGGTCCAACTGAGGTACTAACATGAGGAGACTGGGGGGACCTCAGTCAGGATTCTCAATATCCCAGCTCAGATTCAAACCAAGCACCTTCACATAAGAGTCAACAGCATTAATGCAATACCAGCCTCATCTCTTTCATTCCTGTAGTGAATTTTTCTTGGATCCACTGAGGCTACTGTTAGAGAGATCAAGGAGGCAGAGAAACAGATAGACCAGCCTTCCAACTGGAGTCTATTCTTGGAGAGAGTGACATGCTGTTTCTTTAATGTCCCTTCAACATACATTGTTTCAGACTAGCACAGTATATGGCTGTGTGACTGAAGTCTCAATGGAAAAAGTAATCACAAAATGATATGAATTTGAAGAGAAAGTTTTTGTTCTATAGTGCACCCAGCAGGTCTCAGTCCTGTAACTGTAATCTGTGAGGTTCACATCAATAGTGGATGTTATAACAGATGAAGGCAATACTGCCTTCAAGACCCCAATTTATTTGTCATAACATGACATAATTAAAAAAAGATAAAACATCTGGATGTTATTTGTCTGAAGTGAAAATCATAATGCAGATATAAAGGTCTGACAAAATGAGAAAAGTTTTAATAAATGCTATAAAGGAAATTATAAGGAGAGAGAAGAAGTAATGCAACAATAAGAAAAAGAAACATTTTTTGAGCAGTTGTAATTCAAAATTTCAAAGGGTTAGAACTACTACAATGGTTTTGCTGTGCAGAAACAACAGATAGGACATCAAGAACACTGGAATTATGATATAAAGCAGAAGAGACTTAATGGACAATGCATAAAAAAAAGAGGAAAGAACTGGGGACAAACTGAAAAGAAAAGGCCGTGGGAAGAAAGACAAGATTGAACTGACCTGAATAAAACAGGAGAAAAGAAGTCCACATAGGGTTAAAGGAAGTACAGATAAAAGGTAGAAGGTTTGAGCATGTGAAACAAGTATATACAGAATGCTTATATAACTTCCTGAATTGCAAGTGAAAAGTAAAACAACTGAAGTACAACAATCAAGATGGCTTAACCAAGTAATTAATAATGAATGATGTACAGGTGAAATACTGACCAGAACAGAAGACATACAAAACAACATTAATATACAGAAGTTTTTGGCCCTGGAGCCACGTCTTAATAGACACAATAAAAAATGGGGGGGAGGAAAGATTTTAAGACATTTGAATGAAATGTTTATTTCTGAAAATGTTACACAGTTATGGGCCTGCTTACCTGGTGCATAATAATCGTACACTCTAATCGGGAGGTACCGAGACATATTGGCGACTGGGTACCACCGCTCTATTGTGAAGTTGACACACGTGTCCCTCATATCCAGCTGAGAAAAAGAAAATTCATGAAACACATAATAAAAATGGCACATAATGGAACATAACAGATATAAACCAAATGTAAAGGTAAAGTCATCCCTGTAATTAACTAAGCATTAAACTATGAAAACTTATTGGGGAGTGATGTTAAGATCCACATTTTCTTGACCTTGGCACTAGCTGGAGATGAGTGGTCAGCTTCACGTCCCTGCCGCTTTACTCCCGGGGAAAGAGCCTTCAGTACACATCGGATAGGTGGGCCCCAGAACCAGTCTGGACATTGTGGACAGGAAAAAATTCTTGACCCTACTGAGACTCAAACTCTGACACCTTGGTCGACCAGTCTGTAGCCAGTTGCTATACCGACTGCACTATTCTAGCTTATTGGTATGAACCACAAGAAACTTAAATTTGTTTTCTCTGTGGGAAACAAACACATAATGTAACAATTCTGAACCATTCAATCTGCTTGTAAAGGTAAAGGTAAAGCTATCCCTGTACCAGGGTTGTGAGACACAGAGGTTCCCACATTTTCTCTATACTATGGGCTCACAGATGGCGGTAAGGCTGTCAGCCTTAGCATAGTGCCTCAACCAACTACACTACTGCATGCCCCCAGTCTCCTTACTGTTTGTAGATTTTAAATCCCCACTTAAGGTTTCTTTGGAAAAAGTGGATTTCAACATTAAACTTACCAAAATATTAAACACAGAAAATTTATCACACTGTGGTCATTTACTTGGACTCAATGGAACTGACTGTTAAATTAGGGAAGGCTGTAAAATTCGCTTAATGCGGGGTGCAGCCCAACTGGGTCCACTCCACATGGCGGCCACTAACTGGCCTATTGTAGCCTTCCCCGGGTGATTATGATGATGGAGAATTTACTGGAATGAAGATTGGCAGGGGAAACCGAACTACTTGGAGAAAACCCGCCCCAGCGCCACACAGTCCACCACAAATCCCACTTGACCAGACCCGGGATCGAACCTGGGCCGTCACGGTGGGAAACCAGCGACTAACCGCTTGAGCTATGGCGCGGCCTGGGGAAGGCCCTATATCAAAGGACATTAAATGGTGGCTTCACCGTACAAATGATACTCACAAAGTCAAAATAGAAGAGAACTTTGCGCTCCTGGAATCGAGCACGTTGCAAGTTACGGACTTGTCTTGACCGAATATAAGCATCAAGATCTTGCTGCTGCACGATGTAGCCTGTAGGAATGGTAACATCCAGCACAGCCAGTCCTGACCTCACAGACTCATTCAGATTCGTCCACCTAGAAGAAACAAAACACAGTCAACATTTCAAAATACAAGAAGGTCTGGGAAGCAAACGTGACACCGAGGTAGCATTTGAGGTTCTCACAGCCATGATTATGAACGGTTATCTTCTAGGATACAATGTTATGTAGTATGCTGAAAGTCAACCAATATTTCAGAGGAACATGTCGCTTCCATCTTCAGGATTGAAGAGTGAGGCACGCAAGAAGCCATCATGCTCTACTCGCCACCTGCTTTCATGCTGGCTTCTTGCTCATCTTATCCATCAACCATGAAGATGGGAGCAACATGTTCCTCCAAAACGTCAGCTGACTTTCAACAGACTACAAAGTGTTATATCCCAGGAGATACAACTCTTGTGATGCCTACTTTTCTTCTACATGGTAAGACAATAAAACAAACACCATTCCACTGGACTTGAGATTCTCACAGCGGTGAACATGATAAGTACTACAACATACATCGTGCAGTTGGTAGAAGTTCATCAATGTCTCAGTGGGACATACTGCCTTGGTCTTTAGGGTTGAACCTTTGCTTACCACCTGTTTCTTACTGCCTGCTTGCCTGACTTGCTCTCTGACAGTGACGATGGAGACAGTATGTTACTCCAAAACATAGGGGAACTTATGGCACATACCAATCACATCCCAGAAGACAGTGCTCTTCAAATATTACCAGTAAACTACTTCCATGCATAATTTCCACTAGGACAGATCCAAACTACACTGAAATCCCTATTTAATCCCTTCAGTGTCATTGCCAGAACTTTCCCACCGTTCACGCTCTGTTCCTACATTAAAAACTGCCAGGCTCAGTATCATACAGTGCATTCACTATATCTTGATGACTCTCCAGGAAGTGTGAGAGCTTCTGCATGTTGTTCTTATGTTGCTCAAAAGATAACAGCACCATATGGGATCACCTTACAAGAGTTTCTAGATGCAATAATGATATACATCATGTCAAGGAACACAAACTGCATGTTACATCATCACTGAAGGTTTTACTGAACCTCACGTGGAATGGCTTTTCCTTACACTACATCAAACTCTTCACTAAATGAGTGTTATGCAAAATTAAACAAGGATACTCTTGGTCAGGTCCAATGATCGAGGTTAGCTTTTTCTAGCGGCGGCCCTTTCACATGAGGATATGGTGGTTTTCTTAAAACATTACACAAAGAACAAACTCCAAGAACTCATTAATCCTGAATCCTGACAGGAATATAAGGACTGAACCTGTCTCAATCAGGACAATCCCAGTTGTCTTACCTCTGGCAGCAGCGATATGTGATGTGCGAATGATTCCTGCCGTGGAAGTTAGCTCTTGTATGCAAGGAGAAAGCCTGCACTGGGGGTTGTGTCTGGAACTGAAAGCTGTCCACGTTGTACTGCACTGACATCTGCAGGATAGCATAGCCAGCTCCCTTTGCCTGCACTTTCACTGTGCCCCACGCCTCAGGAATCTGCACAGTACTCGAAACATTACACACTGGAGCAACAGACATCAAGTGGCAGAAGGGAGAAAAGCAATAACTGTTCCATTTGAGGTTAACACAGTGGTGACTATGAAGAGTAGTGCCCAAAAGAGGAGACCAATTTAGTGAACGTATTAAAAAAAGAAAAAAAAAGAGAGAAGAAGAAGAGACAAAAATACAAGATAAGTTCTTAAGGGAGGTCAGATAAAAATGATAGAAACATCATGTATAATGGTGACTTCAAATCATATTGTAACATGTTTTGTTACTGAAGACGCCGTTCGAATAGTTAACTGGTTTATTTAACAACCTACAAATCTCGGCTACAATTAATTAGAACAATATTGCGGGGTTTCACAATTTATAACCCTATTCGCAAATGAAATCACGCTATTGTCAGTAGACTACACGTTTCACAGTACAGGAGCTATACAAGTGTCACTGTGTTACACATTCCCAATTCTCAGTTACACACACGTCCGGAAATTCTTTCCACGACGGCTGCTATATTTCAACTCGACTCGCAGGCTGCTGCCTTGAGAACTGTTGATAACACACTGGCTCTCTCCTGGGACGGCTACAAATTAACTTGACTACAACTGAATTCGCCGACGGCCACATTACAACTAACTCACGCTTACTGCTCAGCTGGCTTTTATTCCATTCGCTGTTGCCTGTTGCCCGCGTCAACAGCGTCGTTGCATGCCATGTAACAGTGTCTGCGTATAGCCTAGCAATGCTGTTACCTCACGCTGTCTTACGTCACCGCTGTTGACTCGCATTGCATAGCTACCAGGACGCTGGGACTCAGCTAACTTCGGCTCCGCTCGGCGCGTCAGCTCGGGGGGGGGGGCAGCTAGCGCGACACGTCACAATATTAAGTTACATATCATTTTTATGGCAATCAGGCTTGTCCACATGAAGAACAATATCTCTTTGGTGTGGGGGGGTTTAACTCTCAAGGCAGACAGAAACCACTAGAAATAAAATTCTTAGAATGGCAACTATAAACATTACTGTCACCCGGGATATGATACCATGTCATGTAGTGTGGCAGATATGTACTAATGTTTCATTGGAACATACCACCTCAATCTTCAATGTGTCACACCCCTCAGAAGACAGTAATTTTCAGAGATGAAAGTGTCTGTTGTTGAACAAACACTGTTCCTCACAGTATTCTGTGCTGCATATAATTACCTCTATTTTCTGGAGTTGGGCAAGATTCCTCTCATTAACGTACAGGTTCCTGACGTGGCCCTGAAGCGATGTCGCTTCGACAGTCACAGACAAAGATGACACATCACGAATTCTCTGTCTCACTGTATACTCAATCAGCGCCCTCATTGCCACTGCTGTGTCCTGTAACAGGCAACGAACAACGCGTCCATTTTAGCTGCTAATGAAAACACACTTTGGAATCTGACTCATTCCAGTTGCTGAATACAGAGTCCCAAATTTCTAATCGATGATTCAATATCTAAAGAAACTCAGAACAGATCCATGAGAAGCAATGGAATTCCAATTTCGGTCTGAATGGAATACCTCATCTGTGAATTTTATGAATCACATATAATTCAGGATGTTTAAAATATGGCATTAGCTTATGTCTCTGATTTTTCATTAAGACCAATTTATGCTCATTCCCTCGGAGTGCCTGCCTTACTGGCCCTTCCACCCCACTTCCTCTTAACATTCAGTATTACTGCAACAGCAAACATTCAGAATTTTTCTTACCAAATATAACTCTAGTGAGAGGATTCTAGTAACACCTAGAAAAGGTGCATCACAGCATTTTTGACTGATATTTTGGAAAATGTGCATGGCCACAGTTTTCTACATGCAATGTTTCAGAGAGTGATTCAGCTTCTTACGACCGCACAGAACTAAAAGAATTCTGCACAGTAGCAGACCTGTAAGAATTCTGACACACTCCTCACCCCTATCAAAGTAGAGAGCATAATGTATATCACTTATTTCTTTATGTATGCTACGAACACACATGCAATTCTTTGACCTTGTCATGCAAAATGGTGGTTTCGTATACCTGTGATAGAATTTGTTGTCAATATTCCTTGTCTATTAATTACTAAAGTACACTTTTTCTGGTCTTCAGCCCATACAATTTACTAAGCCACATGGTATCATATCATCACCACAGACTGCAGCAAGACCAACTTCAAGGAAATACTCCTGCACTGACCATGACATAAAACACAGGACATATCCATACTTATGGATGCAACTGGATAAATACTATCAGTTCTACTGTGATATGTGCTGCAAAGAATTAAAGTAATGTTCAAGTTCTTATAGTCTGGGTCTTCACAAATCCTCATTAAACCAGAAATACAGATCAAGCAGAAATGATACCACACACAGTTTCTGGCCGCAAAGACAAGGCAGTGGATACCTGCGTGGATGCCCATCCTCCATCCGTAAGCCGCTGGGAGTTGAGCCATTTGACAATGGGGTCAATCATCAATTCCTGTCGAGCCACATACGTCAGCAGAGCATATGATGTGGCCTGGATGTTGGTAGAGTCATATTTATATGGAAGTCTCGGCAAAGAGAACGGCTTTTGGTTCTCCATTTTGTATGGTGGTGGAGGCACGGCTTCTTTAGCCCAGTACATTAATCCACCTGAAAGTAGCAAGTGAACAATGACACTAATATCATGATCTATAAAAAAAAGAGCGATTACTTAACAGGAAGCAGCTGAAACATTTTATAGCAAATGTTGTATGCACTATGAGTTACTTCATGATGCTCTAAGTAGGTAGAGTATGTTCTCACACCAGTGGTTACGAAAATTTCTGTCTTCTGGGATATAACACCATGCAGTCTGCTGAAAGTCACCCAACATTTTGGAGGAACTTGATGCCTCCATCTTCAGGGTTAAAGAATAAGCCAAGCAAGAGACCAGCATTAGCAGGTGGCAAGCAGAGCTGTTTCTTGGCTTATTCTTTGGCCCTGAAGATGGAGGTGGGAACTTCCTCTGAAACAGCTGACTATCAACAAACTACATGGCGTTATATCACAGAAGACAGAACTCCTCAAATGGTAGGATGATGGATGAATGACAAATTGTAAGGATTTGGAAGGGAGAGGTTGTGGCCCAATCAAGATATTTTCCTAGCATTTAGATCAAGGGACTGAGAACTGCATTCATTATGCATTCACTCATTCATTCATTCTTTCATTCACATAAAGATATAGTGAACTGAGAAGATTTGTAAAGTGGTGTAGTTATCTGATGATTACAAACAACAACAAAGGTGTTGTAATCATTTTTTATGAGTACTAAGCATCCAACAAAATCAGTAATTCATACCCTTTGTATGGTCACTAACATGTAACAGTGTTTTAGTTACAAAATCTATTTTTCATGTACTGTTTCCAAGATTATCAATTACCTTCTCGTCGAGCATGTTTTGCAAGGATGCCAAATGCAGTTTCTGCTATCGATGCTTTACTCAGAAGTAGTGCGTAAGCAACAATAGCTACTTCAAATGGTTCTCCATGTTCATCCAGAAGCTTTAAATTTCGCTCCAGCCACATGATCGCCTTGTTCTGGGCTGTTGCAACTTGTGACCCTAAGCCCTGCGATTGGTAACAGAGAATAAAAGTCCAATTAACATAAAATAATTGCAACACTTCCAGTCAAACTTCAAGCCAGATAAAAAGTAAACATGTCCAATTGGTAAAATTACTTTCCTCTCTGAACTGAAACTTCCAGTCATTCACGGGGAAGTTACCAGCTGTTGAAATAATGAATGCACTTGCACATTTTACGATGTTCAGTTTCCAATTAACTGACTCCACGATACAGCCTTCTTTGAAAAGTTGAATTACTGAGGTGGTCAAGATATTTCCCAATTTCCAGGAATCAAAAGGTTCATGTACATAAAAGCCCACCACAGGATTCTATCTTGATACGGTTTAATCTAGTTTCACCCACCCATTTTCCCTTTAATGGTTCAGTTGTCCCTGTGCTTAACTAATTAGGCACTATACCATGAAGGTGTATGAGTGAGTGGATGTATAGAACCACATATTCTTGACCTCGACACTAGTTAAACATGAGTGGTCAGCTTTACGCCCTGGCTGATTTACTCTTGGGACCCACTGGATAGGAGAATGGGTGGGCCCCATAACTGGTGTGGACAATGTGGAGAGGAGAAAAATCCTACCCCTACCGGGATTGAAAACTCTGACCCCTCAGCCATCCAGTCCTTAGCAAGTCACCACACTACTGTCTGTGCGCTATCCTGTCTCTCCATTTCCTCTAACACAATTTTAATTTTAGCATCAAATGTGTGCCAAAGTCTCCCGCTTGGGCTTCTTACTAGAGGTTTCCTCACAAAAACTTGCCGTGCATTTATCATTTACCCCCATGCATTATACATGTCTCACTTATTGCATCCTTCCTGAGATCATCACAGTAACAGATTACAAAACTCCTTATTACATAACTGTTAGTGCTCTTTCAGTTCACTTCTCCTGGATTCAAATATCCTTCAAGTACATTGGTTTTGAATGCCCTGAACCAGATCATGAAGACTGAGGGATCAAGTTTCATGGCATGCAGATCTGTTGCTAGGTAGCAACTGGGGGATATGTGATTGTACAGTGCCTGTGACTGAGCAACAGAGGAACAGTGTTTTCTGTGGAGTCTGTGCTGAGATGTTATAAGCGGGACAATCAGTGAGAGTTAGTCAGGGGACTGTTATGGTAGAGCTGTTGTTGTTTATTGGTAGCTGAGGCAAGGGCACAGCTTGGGAACCCAGATGAAGTGGAATGTCCACCGCTGAAGGCTGTTACCAGAAAAATGGTGAAGACACAGCAGGCTGAGAAGACTTAAGTGTGTGCTGTAGTGAACTGTACTGTGTGAATTAGTGATAGCACCACAGTTACTTGTAGTTACAAGTTGACTACCCCCCAAACCCTGCCTACAGTCATGCCAATACCAACATGGAATGTTGCTACAAATACACTTAAAATCACTTCATTTCTAAAGGCAGCTGCTCAGTGACTCACCCCTGTTAAATCTTTGACTGTTTCCAGCATGATCAGAACGTGTGCTGTGAGGGAGATGTTGCGGTACTTCACATGATCATTGGGCCACAGCAGAGAGTCATTCATCTTACGATCTGCTAACCACGTCACCTCATAGAAAGCTCCATCCCACGTCTGATGCCTCAGCACCCATGACACAGCTTTCGAGATCACCTGCATGCAAACCAAACATTTCTAAGCTTTGGACCATCATGGAACAAGACAGAAAGCAAATATGACCATCCCTAACCTCACTTATTTTGATGTTCATAATCCAGCTAGACATATCATATTATTACAGCACATCACTGAAACATTGCAATGCATATACAATATGTATCACCACCAAATCACTTATGTGTGGCTTAATCTTTGAGCCTGAAGATGGAGGTGATACGGTTCACAGAAATGTCTCAAATATGTGACATTACAACCTAAGATGACTGTACTCTTAAAAATGTTCTATCAATATACTAACATCCACACTTGCTACATCTGGCCCACCCCTCATCCTAACATTTGATACATTGCAAGGATACTTTTAACTGACACTCATGTCCATATTACCTCAGGATCGATGTAAATGAAATTCTCCCATTCGTAGAAACTTGCTTCCTGGAACATTTGAGCAACAAATGATGTCAACCAAACACTTGATGCTGACTGGTTCCTGTAAAGAAAGGCAACCATCTTACCTAACATTAAAAACCACACAAATTGTAACTCAAACACCGCTGTAAGCAAAAATTAATTAAAAGTCACTTCTATACCTAAGCACTCTTACCACAAAGGCAGTCAGGGACAGTGAGGCCAGGTTCCACATATTCTGTCTGAAATACAAGCTTCCAGTAATGGTTCATACAGTGATTATGTTCTGGGATGAGATGCCATGTAGTTTGGCAGATAGGTACACATGTTGCAGAAAAAACTGCTGCATCTGTCTTCAGGACCTAAGACCTTTCTTTAACCCTTAAGACAGACACAGCAGGTTCCTCCAGAACACTGGTGCTCATCTGACATCACATTTCAGAAGAATGTAGCTTTCTTCTTATAACACACTGTATAACAGCATGGTAACAGAATTATGGGGCTGGTTAACTACATGCCGTGCTGACTTCAATTCTGGGAAGGAGGCTCTAGTACCATCATGACCTTATGTGGGCTGCCAGGCTGGTCCAAATGTGATGACGAAAAAACATCCGTCCATATCCCAGATTAGACCCCAGCTGTCCAGGCTATAGCCAGTCACATGAACTCAGCAATAAAGGCAAAGCTGTCGCTGTTAATTAAGCACTAAGGCATGGAGACATATGGGTGAGTGGAGATACAGTTCCACCATTCTTCACCTCGGCACTAGATGGAGATGAATGGCCAGCATCATGCCACGGCTGCTTTACCCCCAGGGAAACTGCCCCCAGTAACCACTGGATATGGTACCAAAGCAAGTATAGACACTGTGGAGGAGAGAAAAATCTTTCCTCTGCAAGGAATCGAACCGAGTTATCCTGACTCACAGAATCCCAGCCCAAAACTAGTACAATACAAAAATAACAAAGTGAAGATGTGTAAGGATGTGCGCCATACCAGTCGCTCCTGAAGAGACTGAAAGACCCATCTTTCTTCATGAAGGAGAGTGCACGCTGGTAGCCAATGTTCATGTGGTAGAAAGAATGTTTCTCCTGCGTTCTGTTGCGCTGGTTGATGAGGCGCATGTACATCGTCGTCATCATGTTCGCTGCAAAGCTAAACACGGTCTGCTCAGCACTGTCCTGTGTATTAAGACATTAGATTCTAATAACAGTCAAATAACCATAGAATTCTGTGAAGTGTACTGTTACTTGAATAGAACAGCATCAATTTGTTGTGGAGTCATCACAGAAAGAATAATTTCACATAAACACAATTCCACAATTGCTAAATGAAAACACATGACTCTGAAGCACCAACATACTGTCTTTAATCTAAGCTTCTTTGTTCCTTATCCATACGAAGCATTGTTTTCTCTAATGTTCAAATAAACTACTAGTGAATGCAACCGTTCATCTCTTAGGTCTTTCTAATAATAAATTCTACTGAAATTACAAAATTGCTTATTTATTACAACAGTCTTATAAACATATATTCCAGATGCTAGTGATCTATTACTTACTAATATATAGTCACTGACTGAAGCACTGAACAGTTCAAAGTAAAAACAATATGAGGAGTGGTCACAGATCATGTATGAATATGGATTAGATAGAAGTGAAACACTGAAACTAAAATAGACATGCATAAATTCCTTATGAATTTTAATTTTGTACACTACAACTTTAATCCTACCTGAAATTGCCAATACCAAATGTATCTTTTAAAAAAATTCAGTGTGAATACCTAAGGACTGTGTGACTGTAAACAGTTGTATCTTCGGAAATGCAACTCCGTGTAGTCTGGTGGAAGTTGACCACCATTTTGGAGGAACATACTGCTTCCTTGGAGTTTACTCTTAAGACCCAAAGACAGAGGAAGTAAGTCCCTCAGTAGCATCAATAAACATATACCACACTCCACGGTACCACAACACAGAAAATAGTACCCTTCTACTCAGGGCTAAATGAGTTCTAACCTCTGTACACTTACCATGGGCAGGTTAAGAAGTGAAGTAGCATTAACGGGCATCGTAGGGAAAATTGGGCCAACAACATCACCAACAATAGACACGAATGCCTTGTTTGATCCATAGATGTAGTAACGATTTTCATCGTATGGTATGATAGGCGTCTCTGTCACATTCACATGCAGGTATTGGAACACATATGCACGGTTGCTGAGATCCAGGAGAATAGACTGATGTCTGTACTGCGGCAACCCATCAGCCTACAATCAAAAAACTCATCATTATACGCCTTATACTCCCAATGGCAAAAGTAACATCACTCCAATTTATGTCTATAGCGTGTTCTAAAGCTCCCTCAAACACACACCTTTATGCAGACATGTCTGCAATTTTTCTAAAAAACTATTATATGTTTATCTAAATGGTGCGTGTGGTAGTGTAGATGGTTGAGGCACTACGCTACAAGCCAGAAGGTCATGGGTTCAAGTCCCAATGAGGTCAATGCATTTTTTCAATTGACCTAATCCTTCCAGCCGCACTATGGCCCTGGGGTCAACTCAGCCTCTAACAGAAATGAGTACCAGGAATCTTCCTGGGGGTTAAGGGCAGCCGGCACATAGGGCTGACAACCTCACTACCATCTGTGAGCCGACTGTCTAGAAAATGTGGGAACCTCAACATCTAACAACCCTATGGGCCTCCACGGCCTGTTACAGAGATACCTTTACTTTACTTTTTCTACTTATGTTTATCTAAATATAAAACTACTTTCAATCTAATGTAACCTGCTGAAATCATTGACTTAAAAACAACAGAACCTTAAAACACTTCACACCATAAAACCCTATATGCGGAACCTAAATAGTGGAACAACAAGAGGCAGCCATTGGTAGACAATGGCATGGCAAACATATAAACACAGCAACAATAGACAAACTGTTGGAAGTGATGTTTTCCGTCTGGTCTCAATCAAGGCTATATAGCAAAGACCAAAAGGTAAAGTTTGTCAGCAAGAGGTCAGAGTTGGCAGGTAACAGTCAAGAGATGCAAGTGAGCGGTGTCACTTTGTGAGGAATCTGCACTGTTAGCAAACACTACCTTGCAACAACTAGTGATCACGGAATAACGAACAGAAGACTCGGTGTGTGCTGCAGTTGTAGCGATTTATAGCGTGTGTAAATTATTGAGAGCGTTACACTAATTTGTAGTTACGCTTTATAAGTGTCCAATAAATCCAAACCCCACATCTAGTCACTAATATTTATCCTCACAGTCAAACTAGTGCATGGCACACGGTGGTTACGGACAAGTAAGCAGAGTACCCATGCACGGACAATTCCTGCAGGAGGCACTCCAGCCACTGACCTCCACATGTAGTTTCCTGGTAACTGTGTCCTTGCCAATGAGTGTTACTGCATGGATAGTAACGTGTATATCACCAAGCCGCGTCGGAACAATTGGGACATGAACTATTTCTGCATTCTGTGCGTTGATGTAGATGAAAAACTGGTGCTCTCCAAATGATGTATCTGGGTTGTATGACCTCACCTGGAATTGAACAAAATGTGAACACGTATTTCTTAACACATCAGCTTCCCATTTCTCATAGTTCTTCAAAGAAACTAATTTTTTTAAGTTCTGAAAATGGTTTCTTTCCTTACTACCAGGTCAAAAGTCAAACATGCATTTATGAGCAGAGGAAATTTAATTAATTCAGAATGAAGCACAGAATGACATCTATTTTAATGTCTTTGTACCAACAAAATTCTAAGCCAATGGGTTAAGTGTGAAAACTTCTTAGTATACATATATTTAGGACTTTAAATATTATGTCAAGCCCTATGTGTGACCTTTAACTCTTATAATTAAAAATTCCTTGATTATAATGTTGTTATCATCATAAGTAAAACTCATGACCAGTTCTAGTTACTTTTTTCACAATGACAGGCCAGTTTTAAGATTCAGTTTCTTAACATGTTCAATTAACCTTTGACCTCTCAGCTATGACAAAACTACATATGCCTTTATAAACTTGATAACGACGGCAATGCTGATGACGATGATTACCAAAAAAATGCAATTCATGTATTAAATGTTTAGAGATATTAAATTTAACATTCATTCTGACTTTTTTAAAAGTTCAAGTTCAGACTTACAATTCCATTCATTCCAACATGAACAAACTTGTAGTCCGGAGATCCTGCCAGCACCACTGTAGCCTCAATTGGCGATGGCATATAATTGAAGACAGTAACTCGGATCCCCACTTGTTCTCCCTGCCGGCTCACCATGGGCATCTCCACATTAATAAAGAAAGGTAGCACCCCAACATACTGCAACATCAGGAATCTCAACAAGACGCGGTTCATCATAAGCACAAGGGCTGAAAGGAAGTACAAGTCCCACGAGTGTGAACTGTCTGATATGTAATGTGGCATGTAGAACTGCTGCTAGGCAACGACCAGAAAATAAGCAGTTATATACAAAGCTTTTGCTACATAATGGCTCTGTAAACAATTGTTAGGTAATGGCAGAAAGAGGCATGCAACAATAAAATAGCTGTTGGAAGTGGTGTTCACTGTTGTCACTGAGTAGAAAGTTTCCGTAGCTGAGGCCAGGAACATATCGGGAACCAAGAGGAAACGTAATGTCCGTTGTTGAAAGCCACTACCAAGCAATGGCTAGGGAACACTGAGAAGACTTACGTGTGTGCTATAGTGAACTGCAAAGTGTATGAATTAGTAACAGCGCTACAGTTATCTGTAGTTACGATCTGTAAGTGTTCATTAAACTCAATTTCCAATCCAGACACTCTATCACATGAAAGTATCAATGTTTAATAGAAACCTGCTACCTTTGTCTTCAATATGGAAGAGTAAGCCATTATTCGTCCACACTCAAGGTGAATGTACTGGGTTTCTGAAATTCTCATAGATATCTATAAAATTACGCAGCACAACATCCTGCATGATGTTGATACTCAACACTATCGGGACCTCAAAACTCATGAAATTTATTAATTAATAAAGTGGCCAGTGAGGCAGTAAATGCAATGCAATGCAGAATGTAAGTTTCGTTTAGATATCTGTAAAAGCGTGCCTCTAGCATGCAAATGGAAATGAAAGGAAGAAAATTACATAATTAGGGGATTCAAAACTTATGCTCTTTATCTAGTACTCATAGGATCATTAAAACTCTTATGTCCCATGCAATTTATTATTGTAGAAGTGAATATTTATGGTTCAGCTTGCTAGCTGCCATTTTCTTTCAGTATTAATATAAATACAGGATAAAATACAATTTCCAGTTCCACATAACCACAATGTTCACAATCCTCCATTCTTGGATTATAAAATGTTACCATAAATTGAAAATATGGCCACCAATCCCAAAGTATCAGGAGATTTCAAGATTATTCCTCAACAATCAAGATTAAATTAAAATGGTAGAAAAGAATGGAACATTCAGAATACATGAACAAAACAAGTAATTCATACAAAATTTTGACCAAGAAACGTGGAACAGACCACACAGGCACAGATCAGACAAGGAACTGATGAACATATATGGAGCACAGCTTGCAGCGATCAAAATTTACAAATACTCGGCACTGTACCCACAGACACAATTATCACACGTACCTCAATTGATTTAGGAAGCATTCCGAAGCCCATGGTTGGGCTCACACTGAAAGCAGACACCATCCAGTGGGCAGGACGTTCAGGTACGGGAACAGTGAAGATGTAGCGTCCGTGAGGACCAATGTTCACATCCTTCCAAAGCCATACATTTTCATATTGGCGCTTGATTCGATTGAAGCGGAATTTGCGGAACAGCGTTAATCTTGTTTCATTATAGTATCCACCTAATAAAAGAACACAAATGTGTATCATCAGCATGCCCATTTAATGTTTCTGCAGAGGACAATGATTTGATCATCATGTGGAAGAAAATTCCAAGATAAGTGTCCTCAGACAGTATAATGTAGCAATGAAGGCCAGACCATGCTGTAACTCAGGTGGTTTGCTGCCAACTTCTCAATGTAGCAGCCAGGCAGGGTTCAATGCCAAGTCAGTTAATGTGGGATTTGTGGTGAACAAAGAGGAACTCGGGCAGGTGCTCTTCAAGTAACTCGGTTTCGCCTTCTAATCCTCATTCCACCAAATTCTCTATTTCTCTCATCTGGCACTGGGACAGTGAGTCATTTAATGTCTAAGTACCAAGGGATTCAGTCTAACACCATGTTTCCCTGCAAAGTTTGTGTACTGTCTGCTTACAATTAGCTTCATCAGTCCCATCTTCACAGTCAAAAATTCCATCACACTTTTTGTTACTCCTGTAGCAACGACCATCTAGGCACTCCTGCAATCCTTGTGTCACGTTACAGTAGTCTGCTCGACGGGGCACCAGCACATCACTGAACACTACAAGGCCCGCAAACCTGCAACATCAAACACATATGCTCCATATAAATGACAAAATACACATTCCAACTGTCTAACCCAAATCTATTGTAAAATTTGGGAGAGAAAACTGCGAGAACTCAAATACTGGAACAAAACGAAATTTTGTATATATCAGTATATTCCTTCAAACCAAAAGTATGAGATGTATAGCTAAAGCTCCATTTTAGGCTTCTTTTAGGGGTAGGAATCTGAACTAAGGACAATCATAAATGGAGACAATTTAACAGTGAAATCACTCATTTGAGCTCAGTGAAGGAAAACCTAAGTGGAGGAACATAAAATATGGCTTCCACTGCAGACAAGTATTTCTTCCCATGGCCTACCTAAATATACAATTTTATTTTTGTCTTGTATGGGTATGAAACTTGGGAAGAGCTTTAACTGAGGATCTCTAAGAACAAAATGCAGAGGAGCATATTTCGGTAAACAGGTTACTGCAAAAATGATCATGCATACAACAATGGAAGAATTGCCACTTCTAAGGAACGACGCCTTGTTAGAAATGGTGTTTTCTATTCAGTCCATGCAAAGTGGTTATAAAGAAGTAGTTGGCTGGCAATCCAGTTCAGTTCGAGTTGGTTCAGCGAAATAAGATGAAGTACATGGTTAGTTCAGTTGGCAGTTCAGTGTTCATTTGTGGAGTGTTAACCAGCAGACAACATGGCCATGGAAGCTGAAGAATTTCCATTGCTAAGATTCGTTACCAGGAAACATCTAGTGAGAACACTGTAGAGGAATTGCCATTGTTGAGAGCCATTATCAAGTAGAGACTAGTGAAAGGATACTGAGAAGACAGCATGGAGTGCTTTGTAGCGTGGAAATAAGCATTATTGTTATAGTCAACGGTAGTTATGACCTGTAAGTGGTCAATAAATCTATTCACCGTTCCAAACTCCGTCTATAGTCACTTATACACATGACAATACATAACAAAGTTCTTGTATTTACAGTATTCATGTCACTGTCCAAAGAAACTACTATCATCAACTTGGGCCAGCAGCCAACATAGCTTTATTCAGGTCCAGTTACCCTCCTGGACTTATCCAATGACGTACATGGAAGTGAAGCTGTAAAGCAGATTATACACAGAAAACCTCAGGACATCTCCAGACCAAGACAATATAAAAAGCAGAAATCTGTTCGGACACTTTAAAGCAACAGTGTACAAATATTACTCACTCAAACGTGCGGTTAGCATCTATGCCATACGTGGATGAAGGGAAGTACACAATCTCATCTGGGTTGCCCTCATGAGAGAACCATTTGTGTATGAATGTGCCATTAGTCGGTTCATCATATGTGCCCATCTTGGTTATGACCTAAAAACAAACAGACTGAGTTTATCCATCATAATTCTCTTTATGCTTCCCTGTCTTATTTCAAGGCATCCTCATCACCCAGTTCCGTTCTGTTTCTGCTCATGCCGTTACACACAATTACTGTCCGTCATACAAAGTTTCTGAAGTCTAAAGACATTTGTCTTCTGGGATGTGGTGCTAAGCAGTGTTGTAGATAATTATTAATACTTCACAAGTATCCTTTGCCTCCACCTCAAGCAGATAAGAGAAAGTTGCATGGGAAAGAGACAGTACAGAGATAAGAGAACGCTGCATGCACGACACAACAAATATAAATGGTGTGCAAAAACATTAAATATTGTCACGTGTTGGGTATTTCACGCGACAAATAACTTCACGTGGGTCTCAGATTTAGCGAATCTTTATTGGACACTCACTCTTACACACCTTACAATTATTATCGCTTGCAATATTACTTGCTTATATAGGGGTTATGTGGACTGGATACCGGACACCATTTCTCACGGTTCCATTACCGCTGTTCAGGCAGTCCGTTGTTACGGGAACATTCCTTATAGATTACACCGGTAACGCGTTTCGTCTCCTCTGTTGTTACTCAATGACAGTTCGTTGCTACGATTTGTCACTGCGGGAACTCCCCAATTTTCACATATTCGTTGTCGTGGAAGTGTCCATTCTGATTGTAGTGGTTGTCGCGGTGATGGATGTAAGGTAATATGTCACAATATGTAATATTTAGAGACCTGGCCTTTGGGCTGCGCAGCGAGGAATATGGCAGGAAGTATCGGGGCAGTGGTTGCTGCTGCACTGTGGGGGAGATGAAGGGAAACACACCATAACCTAGGCCGTTATAACACATTCACCCCTCAATCCTTATTTCGGCAAAACCTGACAAATCAACTGCTCATTCTGATTAGAAGAGAAATGTCTAGCACTGGACAGTACACATCAGGCATTTCCATGGGGTACACTCATGACAATAAGGTTAACGTAAGTCTCACGGACATCTAATGACAGATGTCGATTTACATCGAGATGAAGTAAATGATTCTCACATCAGTCCCTTACCTTAGCATATGTGAGCTCATTTCCAGCCTGCATTGTATAGAAAGCACGATCAATACCAGACAGTCCAACGTACGCACCAGGTTCTCCATATATCGCAACTTCAACCTTCTCTCCCGTTCTCGCTTTCCGGTTGTTGATGTACACGGTGAACTGAAACATGTAACATGCTTTTGTTTGCATCAGACTTTCTACTCTCATGATAATTCAACTGCAATACATGTGGGAAAAACAAATATAGTCTTGTTCCTCTTTCCTCAAGAATGTTCAGCCCCTTTTTTGTATATCTACATCCACGCACAGCCCCATTAAAATCACTGCCTATCTGCCTGCAACAGCTTCAGAACCACTGAGTAGGTTTTTACAATATATAACACTGGCTAATCAACCCCATCCTTCTTCTTCTTCTTCTTCTTCTTCTTCTTCTTCTTCTATGGCGCAACAGCCCGATGTTGGGCCTTGGCCTCCCTTATCAAGCCCCTCCATTCCTCTCTATCCTGCGCTGCTCTCTTCCAGTTCCTTACGCCCATTAATTTCTTTGCATCTTCTTCCACCGCATCAATCCATCTAGTTCTTGGTTTCCCATCCTAGTTTTTGTTAAAATCGGACAACCATAACAGACACATCACATGACCTACATGTTTCTGTACACATCTAGGACTCATACATAACACAAAATATTTATCAAAAAAAAATTTGGAAAAGAAGTGACAGAAAAATGAATACATTTTATGCCGAACACCCTTTTCTGTAAGTCTCAGAGCTCTGAAGATAAATAAGAAAGGGAGAGAACGCACCAGAACTGTTACGTTATGCGTAGCTTATTTTGTCTTCAAATGAAACTAAGGATTAGAAATCATGTTCTTATGTGACACCCCAGTCTCTTCTGAACCTATTGACATAATTACATAAAAGATGACAAGACTGTCCCCAGTGTGCAATGAACAGGATATCAGCATGTCCCACAGCTATTCTCAACATGTAGGAGAACAGCCTTTTCCTGTGCTTTGAACAAAACCCCAGACATCCAAACAACAGCCAGTCACTTTTAATGACTGATCCATCCCAACTTTTGCATCAGAACAGATGTTCTTCCACCTAAGACGTTCTTGTGGTCCCATGCTGGTATTGTTGAAAGGATGTATTAGAGAGAAATGTATGCGGCAGCATAGTTGGTTGAGGCACTATGCTACAAGCTGGAAGGTTGCGGGATCAAATCCCAATGAGGTGGATTTTTTTTTTCAGTTTACCTAATCCTTCCAACGGCAATATGGTCCAGGGGTCAATTCAGACTCCAGCAGAAATGAGTACCAGGAATATTCTTGGAATATTCCTGGGAGTAAGGGGTGGCTGGCACATAAGACTGCAAACTCACTGCCATCTGTGAGCCAACTATCTAGAGAAACTGGGGGAGTCTTAACATCTCACAATCCTATGGGCCTCCACGGCCTGTTACAGGAATATTTTTACTTTTTTTATTAGAAATTTCAAGTGAATGACCATCACATGAACGATATTCATATCAAGTTTCATGAAGTCACTTCGACAAGTTACAAAAGTTACTGGGGGCCAAAATGAATTTATTACAATGAAAAAACTGATGAAGGTTTCTTTGGGGACCAGTGTATTTTAACATTAAACTGAGAGAAATCTTAGGAGGAAGTAATTTAGCATAAAGGTTATCGAGTTGGGATCACTGAGAGTGAAAACCTTAAATCAAGGAGCATCCCGTTGTACGTTGCTCCACTTCAGAACAGACACCTACAGAGCCCCACTTCTGGTGTCGTATGTTATCAACTTTCTGTTCCTAGATTTCAGGTGTCGCATGACAACTCACATTGTTGCGCGAGATGCCGTTGACGGGGAAAGTCAAACTGTCTGCAATGATATCCCCATATCGCCCCACATGATACACCAGAACAGTCGCAACAGGTGCCATCTCGGCACTCAGGGTAACGGCAAATGTCCGTATCGTGGTCTGCATCTTTTCCTCTCCACAGAGCAGGATAATGCCTTTTGACATGACGATAAAGTTGAATACCTCCATATAGAAGTTGCTCTGCACATGTAGGATGATGTACTCCCCAACCTGCAAACAGCGTGAACAGCTTAATTTATTTTCCTCAATAATCTTCCGTCCTCAAACCCCAAATGCCCAACATCCATCACCATGACAATGAAGCTGAACAACTCATGTAGAAATTCTTCTACATATAAAGGATAACCTTCAGATCAATAACAAACGACCACACTGACCATAATATTCGGGAGTTGGACATGTATCACACATGAGGGAGAATTCAATACAGGGTTCTGGCCAGGAAACCTGAAGGAGAGACACCACTTGGAAGCACAGACCGATGGGTGGACATTAAAATGTATCTTAAGGGAAATGGAGGAGAGGAATGGATTCATATAGCTTTTTCTTTATTGTTAGTGGGGTGGGATTAAGTCCCTTGTACTGCGGCCACTTCTGGCCTATTGTACCAGCCCCAGATGATATTTGAGGGTGATTGTGGAGAAATTGGTGGAATGAAGATTGGCAGGGGAAACCGAAGTAATTGGACAAAACCTGCCCCAGCGTCACTTTGTCCACCACAAATCCACTTGACCAGACCTGGGATCGAACCCGGGCCGCCGCGGTGGGAAGCCAGTGACTAACCACTTGAGCTACGGTGTGGCCCATTCATATAGCTTAGAACATTGACTGGGCTTTTTGTGAACACAGCAATGAGCTTCTGGGTTCAGGTTCCATAACATGAAGGAAGTTTTCTGACTATCTGAGCAACTATCAGTTTCTGAAGAATGATTATGCTCAATGAAGTTAAGTTACCGACCTGAACATAAAATGAACCCCATTCTCAAATTTGACTTGTGGAAAAAAAAATGGTTTGTGAAAATATACATAAGGAAGAACAATATAAAGCCCCTAGAAAGTAGAGCGATTTCACTGTTTATGGCCTCAAATAATTCTATGCTACAAATCGTAAGATGGAAACCTTGTGCTACAAGTTGGTCACAGCTTATTTCATGGTATTAGTAGACATCCACGTGAAAGGACTGAGGTAAAGCCATAAAAGATCTGAGGCATGATATACAGCCTCTCGACCAAGTTATGAACCAATGATGTCACATGTGAAGTAGCAGCGTTAACCACTGTTAGTGTTCTGTGCAGGATTCTAGAACGATTTTTTTAAAACATGCCACAGAGTGAAAATCTCAAATGATGAATCACAGAAAACACCCCACCCATTTTCACCTTTGCATCTCGAGTTGATGTTGATACTTTGATGTGATGGTTTGTAGGTGAGAAGTGAGACAAGAGCAACATGGTTGAAGATGTTCGTTCACCCATGCCGTCAGAATAATCAGCCGTGATTCGCATCGACTGGATGTCATTCAGAAGCTCCCGGGCTCGCCGGTTTTCATCATAACCTGAAACACACAGCATCAGCTAATGTTCCAAAGTAAAAATATCACATCTTAAGAATTCTCCATCCTGAGCCAATTCAATCTACTTCCAAATAATTTCCTTACGATTAATTTTAGAAATGACTCTCCACCTATATCAAAATTTCTCATTAGGTTCTTCCTGGTTTTCATTCAAAATCTGTATGAATTTCTTATTTTTTCCACACACATTATACACCCACCCATCTGATCCTTCCTGACTTAATTAAAGGTGCTTTGGAGTACACATTAAGAAGATGTTTCCGTTGCGTATTTTTCTACAACCTACTGTTTCTTTTCTCATGGGTCAAATCATTCTCCACACTTTATCTCACAAAACTTCCAGTATGCAATTTCCTTTCTTTGGAAGGGAAAGTTACACATCAATGCTCTGTCCTCGAATAAGCATTCTTCTTGTATTTATGTTCATTCTTTCCCCAGTCTGTTTTATGCATCCTCCCTCATCCATGTTTTGGTCACCCTTAAGGATGTTTCTTCGTCATCTGAAAACATTCACTCCAGTATTCGAGGCTGGTCATTTGATAGTGCTTTGTCTGGAATGCGAGTACTGATCTTGGTCAAATAGTAACATACTGTAAGATGGCAATATATTCTCCTTCAGGACAAATATTTATGCAGGTAACCACCTACTGTAATTCCTGGGTTATATGTTATGCATTTCTTTAAAGTGAAATACTGCAAACCGCTATTGTGCATTAGGAATGGCTAGGCTGGAATATAAAGAAACAGCAAAAGTTTTAATTTATTTTGCTCTCAAAGAAATCTTGTTTTCATGCTTATGTGCAGTGAACATCTGTATATTGCATCCTTAACTTAAACAATGAAAAACATGACTACACAGTCACTTGGATGCCTGTAACACATTCTACAAGTTAACAATGAATATCAAATTGCTCTTAAGAGAAGAGCCTCAGAAGAGAGAGAAATGCTCTGAAGGAGTAAGACCAACTGTGAATTCTGAATGCATATGCCAATGATGGTTATGTGACTCTGGTCCTGCATTGGGGAAAACTGATGCTTATGTGACTCTGGTCCTGTGCTGGGGAAAACTGATGGTTATGTGACTCTGGTCCTGTGCTGGGAAAAACTGATGGTTATGTAACTCTGGTCCTGTGTTGGGGAAAACTGATGGTTATGTGACTCTGGTCCTGTGCTGGGGAAAACTGATGGTTATGTGACTCTGGTCCTGTGCTGGGGAAAACTGATGGTTATGTGACTCTGGTACTGTGCTGGGGAAAACTGATGGTTACATGACTCTGGTCCTGTGCTGGGGAAAACTGATGGTTATGTGACTCTGGTCCTGTGCTGGGGAAAACTGAAAGACTTACCAAGTTGAGTTCTCAAGTCCACTTTCATCTCCCAAACTCCCATTTTTTCAGTGGACATTTTAAGTTCCTGATAATCGAGGCTTCTGCGGCCACCAGAACGAGTAGCAACTTCTGACCTTATCTCCAACCTACTATGTAATAAGCGTTCAAGGGGAAGAGGTGACCCATCTTGGAATGACACTGCAACCTAGGAAAGAAAAAAAAAGTAAATACATTTTCTCAACCATTCATTCAAGTTTAGGGTATAAGCCTCCTCTGAACTCACACCATCTCATATGTGGCCATAAAAAAATCTCCTTCCAATCAGAATTTATGTGATTACTCTTCGCAACCTTCCATTATCAATTCCACCGAAATGGTCAACCCATCTGCAAACAGGTTTACATCTCCTCTTCTAATAAATATATAATTAAATATATCTTGATGTTATTTCCATTTTGTATTTTATATATTCTCTTGTGGAAACCCCTTACAATTCTCAACATGGGTGGAGTATTTTCTACATACATTCTTTGCTATTTTACACACATCACTTGACTTGCTCCATTACTGCAGTCAAACATTTTGTAGCAAAACCAATAAAATGCACCAAAATAATGATGGATTCTGATATCAGTTATTTTTCGTGTGTTTTGTTAAATGCACATTATATGCAACAATGTTTTACATAAAGAACTTTGGTTCTTAATGATTTTTATATCCTGCATCATAATTTTTTTTGTACAATCAGCCATTTTTAATAAAATAAACACATTAAGGTCCATAATGTAGGTATTTTCTTCCGTGGGTCACATTACTATGCTGTCAGCAGCTAGACTATGCAATGTCACCCAACAGGAAAATAGAGGACATGTAAAGGGTTTAAAAGGAAGTGGTCACAGCCTACTGAAGGTACTGTTCCTGCACTGGCCTGGGGCAACTGAGAAAGGTCATGAAAAACCTCAGACCCAGCCAAGATTCCAACCAAGCAACTCCTAAAAACGAGTCAATAGCATTATCGCTTTGCCAACCCATTTGGCAAGTACATCTTACACTGGAGTTATATGGAGCAAAATTAATTCTGTGCAATAAATTTTAGTGCTTGTTGCCCAATACCAGATTTACAAAAACCTGTTCACTAAATACAGGAAATGAAGCATCCATGTAAAGGGGAGAAGGGCACAACCTTCCCAAAACACCCATTTTATGAATATCATGGAAATAAGTCAAAAAACATAATTTCTGCTTACTAAATACATAAACATCAATTCAAATTGATTTTAAGTTAATTCACGGAAACTTACATAGCAGTAGAAGGGCATGGATGGCTTGAAAACCTGCGGAGACCCCCCGAGGAAAGCCACCTTGATGGAGGAGTTAAATATTTGGGCTGTAGAGTAACCTTCTATGACCTCATCAAGAAACTGGTCACCAACTGTGGCCGTTACAGTCACCTCCATTCCTTCTAGTGTTGGCACAAACTGTTCCAGCTCTGCAATTGGGTACTGGAAATGGTATACTCCATAGAACTGTAAGCAGAGTTGTTAGTTGAACATCCACACAAGTGAATCACAGTCACAGATGTGCTCAGATCTGTCAAGAAACAATCAATACAACTGAAACTGAAACATTCTGTCCCTGGAATGTGTCGAAACCAGCACTTCTCAAAATGTTGGTACCCCTACAGTTCACAAAGCAGCTTGCTGGAGTATTATAAATCCCCATTTTCTGCATTCCCAGCGAAAACTGTTATCTGTGGTTGTTTTTATTTTCAACTGATTCAGAATAAGCTTATATATATTGTGACGTGGATGGCGCAACAAGAAGTAGGGTTCACGTGACCCCTACTTCCTGTTGTGCCATCCAAATATAAAGATGTTAATAGTTAATCAATACTATAAGATCGGTGAAAATTAAGTTTTGCATCTTGCAAGTACTTATTTTCATGGGGTTCGGACATCGGTTTAATTGTATCAGGGGATACCAAGCATAAACAGTTTGAGAATTGCCGATTTAAAGAAGATACACTGAATCCCCAGCTTCACAACTTAGTTCCATTTGCAAACTTTGACAGCTGACTAACAACTGGCGTTTTGGATGACATTAGTTACATCTATGCCTGCGAAAAGTCAAGAAACGGTTAAATTACTGAACAGAAGTTTTCATCCCTGCACCGAATCTATATGATAGATATGATTTCTTTATTTTTAAAATCTTTACTTGACATTATACAGGTATTTTCAACACAGATCAGAAGTGAACCAAAAGATTTGTTTCATTTATTAATATCTTCCTACATATACCTCTGAATTCCAAGTAGCAATGCACATCCTAAACAACTCTATCATGTAAACTGATATCTGTAACAAGTTTTGGTCTCAAAATTAATCAATATAGTTATAATTAGCACATACAGACTAGTGTGACCAAAGTAATAAACCTTCAGGTTATAAAAATGTTGGGAATTTCTTGAGTGGCTGAGCAACTGTTGGCTTCTCAAGAATGACTCAGCTCCATGCAGTTAATTAGCTATTTGGTTACTTAGTTATGACTCACTCCAGTATATAAAAAATACATCCAATATAACTGTATATGTTCAAAAAAGTAACAGACTATTGAATTTAAATTTGAATTTATTTATGTTCCATAAATCTTAAGACTAGGTTGACACCATAGGATATGAAACCAGTCAAGTACAAATACATATTATCTGTACAATAATTAGTTTTGCTGGAAAAGTTAGTAAGATTACAATACAGTATTAATATTACCAAGCTAATTAGATACATACAGCACAATCTGCAAATAAGCAAAATGATACAGTAACATGCTTGGGAATACACTTTAATTTAGAACCGATATTAGCTACTGTTTGTTTACATTTGCATTTGAATTTATTCCTGTTTCGTAAATTCAAGTACAGGTTGACACCATACCAGAGTATTACATTCCAATTTGGAAATGTTTACAAATTTAAATCACATACAGCTTCAAATGAACTGTGAACAACCTAAAAACAAATCCATCTAAAAACCTGTCCAATCCTGTCAAATGGTGGTATCATCTGAAACATCCAGTCACCAAACTGATCACTTGCAATTAACAATCTGAGGTAGTGACCTGCTGAAATTTGGGACAAAGCTATTACTTTTAGACATGGGTCATCATTCACATAACAAAAATTGTCAAAGTTAATTTTGTAACATTAATGCATACATGTTTCAATTGAAAAAACTGAGGACCACACCAGTTACATGTTCAGAGAACATAATGTTCTCTGACAATCACTATTACATATAAATCAGTGGCTAAAGATGTATCAATACTATTACAACTGAGATGTAAAGTACATAAGTACATGTAACCAGAGATAATTCTTTGATATCCAAAGCATTTGTATTAATGAAATAAAACTAAGAGTGTCTTCAAGTGCAGTGGACATTCTCATTACTGAAGAACATGCACCAGAGAGAATATTAACCTTTAAAATTTGTCCCAAGTATTTAAATGAAAGTTAATGATGTTTCATATCTAATGTACAGCTTCTCTCACGTGCATTTAAGCATTCTGCAGCCATTACTGTGCTAAAAATAGGCAGGATGATACACAGTGCTGTCAGTAGCAACTGCAAGAAGTATGACACAGCATGTGAACAAATATAAAAAGTAAATGAAAAGTAAAGGTATCCCTGTAACAGGCTGTGGAGGCCCATAGGGTTGTGAGATGCTGAGGTTCCCACATTTTCTAGATAATCAGCTCACAGATGGCGGTAAAGTTGTTAGCCCTACGTGCCAGCCACCATTTACCACCAAGAATATTCCTGGTACTCATTTCTGTTAGAGGCTGAGTCAACCCCAGGGCCATAGTGTGGCTGGAAGGATTAGGACAAGTGAAAAAATCCAATGATGTCATCGGGATTTGAATCCGCGACCTTCCGGCTTGTAGCATAGTGCCTCAACCAACTATGCTACCACGTGCCCCCCCAGGTGAACATATGCATATCACAAATTTGTTTTTGAATTAGTCTATAAAAATGGCAAATTTTCTTTCAAATTTTTGCCAGATGCTTGAGAATTCCTGATGCTTGGACAGTACACAACCAGGAGTTCACTGTACTGCAAGATATTTGGAATTCTAAAGAATAATGCCAAAACTTGTCTTCAACAGTTCTGAATTTCAAAAGAGTAAGTGAAAACAATCAAAGACTGAAGATACTTAGATGATCATTTTCAAAATCAGTCATAGAAGTTGTGCTCAGAAATCAAAGAATGATGACATTATAATGAAGAAAACAGTGGAGCAGAATTTCATCTAAGCATTACTAAATTATGAACAAGGATGAAGGACTGACAAAAATTTTTTTTTAATGGTGACAGTACAGGACACTGGTCCTAAATAAGTTGCCAATACATCAAAATAACAGCCTCACACAATGACAGATGTGTGACAAATATTTTACTTGCAACTGGTGTCTCTACACTGACATGATTAATGGCTTCCTTCCACTATTGAGAGAGTGTGTGTCTTCCTTTGTCATACAGTTCACAGAAGGCAGAACTACCATTTTCATCTTAAATTCTACAACGTTAATAATATCCAGCTTCATAATTCAAACATTAGAAGCAAACACCTGTCATGGACAAAAGGTTTTGGGAATAAATTCTAAATATAAGCAGTAACTTGTATAAAAACTACACAAAAAGACATCAGGCACCTGTAGGCACAAGGTTTTACACCGACAACTGTGTTCTGCATCCACTGTTGAAAGGACAAAGAGTGATAGTAAGTGGGAAGCCAGCACCAATTGTTAGTAACAGCTGATATCAAGCTAGGTTAGTCACCCTGTATGAGACACGGCTCCCACTTACGTATTTCAGGTGGGGTATCGGATCCCACTGTCTATCACTTTGGAAAGAAGGGAACCAGAAAGGATACTTTTCATCCTGAAAGAAAAATATTTCAATCAAAAGTCGACAAATGTAACACAGTTAAGTTGCTTACAGGGTACAGCAGTTGTTCGAAATCCACAGCAGCTCCTTCCGAACACCTTATGAGATGGATCCAAATAGAGTCTGGAAATTCCTATCAGTTCAAACAATATGCATGTGCTGCTTCCATCCGCACAATAATCCTTTGGCAAAATTCAACTTCAGCATTTCAGCTTCACTGAGTCAACTGCCACAGGAGTGAAAAGGGAACTCTTGGGGGCTGTTTACACATGCTTTCCCAGCCCTGTGAAAAGCCCTAGGAGCTGCGCAGACTGAATGTGTGCAACTGTTACTCAGTCCCCTAGATAGGAATATGTATATAGCAGTTTGCTCTTGACTTCAGCTTCCTCTAAACACTGTGTAGACTTTCAACATCTTGATGAAGGAGTATGAGTGCCTCAGTAATATAACAGGCAACTGTACTTTGGCTTAAGTAACATAACAGGTAACCTCAACAAATTACCTAAAGATTGCAAACAACAGAACTAAAGTAATTAATGTGCAGCCAGTCTGAAACAAACTAATGCTACTATTATGAGTGGAATGGAAAAAGCTTGATTAAAAGTAACTATATATACTCATTTAAAACAATTATTTTGGACTGCAACCACTGTCTGAGCTTAAAAATTTGTTCTGCTTCCACCCACAAGTGAACTCTGTTGTGCGCCTTGGTATAACAACACTCAAACCATGGACTTCTAGCCATATCTCAGGGCCCAGGCTAACAGAACTACTTTCATATCACGATCATCTGAAGGCAGAAAAAAACAGTTTCCAAAATTTTGTGGGTTTCACAAACTCAGGCAATGGACAAAGTTGAAAATAATAGTTTTGCAATAGTGTCACACAGTGATCAAAACCTTTAAACTTTACAAACACATGCATCCACTTAAGATTCATCTAAGTGCTTTTTACAGTGTCTCATGCGTGACACATTACAACGAAGTGTATGAAGAATATCTCCAATAGTAAGGGTCGCGCCATAGCTCAAGCGGTTAGTCGCTGGCTTCCCACTGCGGTGGCCCAGGTTCGATCCCGGGTCTGGTCAAGTGGGATTTGTGGTGTACAAAGTGGAGTTGGGGCGGGTTTTCTCTGAGTACTTCGGTTTCCCCTGCCAATCTTCATTCCACCAGTTCCTCCACAATCACCCTCACCTATCATCTGGGGCTAGTACAATAGGCCAGAAGTGGCCGCAGTACAAGGGACTTAGTCCCACCCCTCTAGCAATAAAAAAAATTTCCAATAGTAACAATATAAAGTGAATTTAAACGGTTTAACTGCTTGTATTATTCACATAAGATGGCACTCACAAAGTTGAAGTACTTTTCCACAACAGGATTGCGATCCATATTTCGATATGCTGGTTTGATAGGTCGGATAGTGGCTTTGAGTGTGAGGTTCCCATGGACTGGAGCTCCACTAGTGTAATTGGCCATCACTGTGCCATACAGGTACCTATCCGTATCGAAGAAGAATGCGGGCATTGTGACATTCACCTACAAATTAAGAATCTTTATTAGAATTATAAATAACAGCATAGTATCATGAAAAGTTAAACAGTTCCATCTAGTGTGACTAGTGAAGCTTTTTCTTATTTCAATTATCTATGCCCTTTCTCGTTTCGGTTTTCAGAGACCATCATCAGAGGGACACCTTTACATCAATACAGTTAGAAGCCACCATTACAGTACATATTCTAAAACTTAAAATATATACATACGATATAAATAATATACAATTGGCTTTAAAATCTAAGTCTTTACAACTACAGCGGCTGTTCCAATATGTTAAAATATTTATGATTGGTTTACTAACACTCTATTGGAATTCGTAAACCAGGCAGGTTCGTGTCGTCCCTCTTATTATTTCTTTTGACGGGGGCCGAATGTGAGCCACCTTGTCGTTCTCAAGAAGAGGGTTCTGCAAATATTTTATGGGTATATTGTATTATTTCAGCAATCCTATTATGTCTTCTAAAAACTTTTGGAGTTCTCCTGTATGTGTTTGTGGCGCGCTGTGTTGTTTTTACTGTTCTAGGATGTGTTGTACCGTGTATTTATACTCCTTGTGTCTATGACATTGGTGTGGGCATGTACTGATGTTGTATTATGAGGTCGAATATGTTATACTGGCTATCACTTTCCTTTGCGTGTTTTTGTTTTATCAATTTTTTGAGCTTATTAAAAAAATATGTATGGAAACAAATCAAAGATCATACTAATATAAATAGAAAACGCTTCCTGCCCCTTGATTTCAAAGTAAAGGTATCCCTCAACTTATGTAATTTTGACTTACACATGAACAGGTGTAATATTTTAGTGAAAATTAAGAGACAACAAAATATCTGTCTAGAACAAAAACAAATACATAACGAGTTAAAACGTATGCCAAGTTCTGAGCTATGCTCATGTCAGCACTGAACTGTTACCATGTTACATGTCATGCAGAAACATGGACCCTTGCAAAGAAAAACAAAAGCTAAAACCAGTGGGTACTGAAATTTCTGTGAAGTATTAATGGAAAAATGAGAGAAGGTATAATTATAAAAACTGAATACTCAGGGATGAAACTGGAATCCAAAATCTCTTAATAGATTTAGAAGAAAAATGACCATAGTGGTTTGGCTATGTAAAAAGAACGGACAAAATAATGATACTAAGAAGATTGAAGAAAACAGTCTACAACATGACCACGAACAAGATGGTCCAGTCAGGTACTAGAAGTCATCAAGAAAAGAAGAAAGAGCTGGCAGGAAATGAAAAAGAAATGACTGTTGAAAGACAGAAGAGACTGACGACTTCTTGGCAACAAACCCACGTAAATCTGAAACAATGCTAGAAGACAAGTTACCATAACTCACTAAACAATGTTTCTTTCATAAGACAAATATGCATAGTTACTCACAATGAAAGACTAAATTATGGACTATCTCAGATGGTTCACAAAAACAGAAGACCCAGTACAAACAGGACCACACAAAAGAAACATCACAACGCTATTTACAATATTCCTTACCTCAAACCTAGTCTGGTAGTATTCCTCCACCAAGAAAGTTGCTTCTTCAATCTGTCCCTGTGCAATGATTTGGATGATCCACTCCCCAAACACAGGTTGGTCCGAAAGCTGGTAACTCAAGCTCACAGTGCCAAAGTTTGACTGCAATTTGTAACACACATTTACACATCAGTAACCTGACATCGAGTTTCTGTTGTATACAGAATGACAGAAACATGCTTTTCTGTACACTGTTCACGTAACTACATCACAATTTAGTCTGCATTGCAGAATAAATACTTCAGTTGCATAATAAAATACAGCAGACTAACCCTTATTTACATTCGAATTATCTCTTTGTGGAAGTGTGGGAGTTTTAGAACTCCTTAGGTATTAAATAGCTTCCTGTAATGATTTAAGTGTAGCCCTGTTAGATCTGTTACGACAGGCCTGTATTAGTGATGCTTTAGAGTGATTTGCAGCCGGAAGTCCATCTTCTTTCTCTGTTGCAAACCTATGTTTTACAATATTACACTTGGTCTTTGCCACATGAACAGGGCAAGATCTGTTTATCATCATCACCACTGGCATGACAGCCCTTTGTGAGCCCTGGCCTTCCTCAGGATCGTTACATTCCTCCAGTTCTTTACACCCAAAATTCTTATGTCCTGCCACACACATTCTTCCCATCTTAATCTTGGTCTTCCCACTCTCCTTTTTCCTTCTGGTTTAGTATTAAGCATTTTGATCTGTTTATTATCACGCCAATTTATCAGTTTCCTCTGCTTATCTGTCTGTTAGTATAGTTAATAGTGATTTATAAGGTAAAGTACAGAAAATATTAGAGGTTAAATTGGGTCTGTTCATAAACTCAACTGCTCAACAACTGTTAATTGCATCATTTCATGTTTGGAAAAAACTATGTTACAACTTAAGAACAGGGCTATGGAACATAACCTGTTCATAGGCCAAGGATCAAGTATACTTTATTACTTTTCACCCTTCCTACTACCACCAAAAAAGGGCTGCTTTCTTCTATATTTGTCTTGTGTTCAGGGTCCAGAAGCATGACCAGTACATAATTATGAAGTGATATTCAGGGCTAGATGATGGTTATTTCCAAATTTTTTGATTATTCATTGTTCTGAATTATCTGCACTGCTTCTCCACTACTGTGTATAACAGGAGTTCACTATAGTGGAACAGCAGGCCATGTTATTTACTGTCACTGCTACTAAGGCTACAATTAAAATCAACTTTTTAGTTCAACATTTCAAGCATGAATATAAAAATATTTACTGATGTAAATAAAATACTACTGCTTAAACAACATGAACACATTTTAAAGAACTGCCTTCCCCCAACCTGCCAAATACCTGATCCATCAAACACAGGCAATTAAGTCACTTGCATATTATCTGTAGTTACAAGTGAAAGTGTTCAGTAAATGCAGTTATCAATCTAAACCTCACCTACAGTCACAATCACATGACAAAACATATCAGACAACTGACATAGGTCGGGGAAATTCTCCACTCCTGACTCTTTGAGATTATGCACCTCCATCCACATACCACAAATTACATTTGCTCACCTGTCGGGAGAGCCACCTCCTCATGATATGTCTGTTTGGATCCAACATGTACACATCCACAGCGTCATCAAAAGCACGTAGCTCTGTGTTGATGGGAATTGTGCGAAAGCGAACTACAAGAGAAGCATTATGTTCATATTACTAAAACATAATCATGAGTTCTGAGCATCTCACATACATAGGCCGCACCATAGCTCAAGCAATTAGTCGCTGGCTTCTCACTGCGGCAGCCTGGGTTCGATTCTGAGTCTGGTCAAGTGGGATTCGTAGTGGACGAAGTGGCACTGGGGTGGGTTTTCTCCGATTACTTCGGTTTCCCCTGCCTATCTTCATTCCACCAAATTCTCCATCATCATAATCACCTGGGGCAGGTACAATATGCCAATCAGTGGCCGCCTTGCCAAACGGACCCAGCTGGACTCCACCCCCCACTAGCAAAAAAATCTCACGTACATGAGTATTCATATCACAGTCTTCTGGGACGTGACAACATGCAGGGACCGATGTTTCCAAGGAAACTGTTGCCTCTGTCTACTCTGAAGTCAAATGAAAGTTCCTGTGATGCACTGGTACCAACCTACCGCACACCGTGTCACATCTCAGAAGAGGGTGATACCAATGATATAATCATTATCCCACCAGCCACTTTCCATAAGGGTGACAATCTTGCAGTAATGACTTCTCCATTTATCTCTGTCCTCATGCAAACATTCAACTTGTGCCTAGGTCCACTCTTTCATGCAAACAAAACAAGATGTCAAATTACATCACTGTTATATAATTACACTGAGGCAGACTGAAGCCTGCATGCTTCCCCTTCTGCAACAGTAGACACTGTAATGTGTATTTACAAACATAATAAGCAACCTATCAGACACATTTTAATCAAAGTCTTTATGTTAGACTGGCAACATGCCTAGAAGTGTTTCACAGAGCAATTCCTTGCAAACTAATCCCTTTTGTGTAGAGAAACCTGTTCTCTTGTCATAATAATTAGAAAGGTAATGCAACTTCACACATTGTTCAATTTCCTTTCTGTTATTCCTATTTAACTTTGGAAAATAACTCCTTGTCATGATGGCTAACATGTCAGCTTCTTGTTGAACCATCACCTACTGATATCTATCAATAAATCAATAACTACAACTCCAATATCTAACATGATACAAAAATCAGTTTTTTGTGAACATGCTGTCTACTACAGGAGACACAAGTGTGTGAAACAACCCTTCTGCCATGAATGTTTTAACCCTCTAAAGCAAAATCGTTCCCATATTTACTGCATGCTGTAAGATCAAAGAAACTCTGATGAAATAAATACAAATTTTCTACCTTTATTTCTTTGTTGTTCCCTAATAAGGGTTTTGAAATTTTCCCAGAGTGCATCTGTGTGCTTCACATGAATCTCATGAGCCAGGATAGGCAATACAGTGACGAGCTACAGTCTGGATGGCCAGGGTTCAATTCCTGGCAGAGGCAAGAGATTTTTATATTCTCCACAGTGTACAGACCGGTTCTGGGGACCACTCAGCCTCCTATCTAATGGATACTAGGACTTGCACTCTGGAGATAAAGCACCAGGAGCACGAAGCTGACCATTACCTTCAGCCAATGCTGGGATTAAAAATGGTGAAGCTATACCTCCATTCCTCAATATATCTTCACTTTACCTTTTACCACATGAGTTTTAGAATAAACAATTATTTGTGTCAGAAGTTTTAACCAGCTGGTTTTTGTAATAGAGAGACATTGTTTTCTGCGTGGTAGAAATTGATTTCTTTTAATGCTACATATATGAAGTTGGGGCTCCATAGAGTGTACATACCTGTTTCTCCCTGCATGTACACCGGTTTGTCAGTCTGTATGAAGATAGTCATGGATCGCTGTGAGAACGTAAGGTATGTCTCATTGACAAATGCGATTCCGCCCATGAGTCTGTCATAGCTGCCCTCTACACGCAACTTATATTTCCCAGTAACGCTCGTAGTTGGAATCTGCAAATACACATAATAATAATAAAAAACATAAACTACATTTGCAAGTTTTATTCATACACTTTTATTAGTCACAATCAAGTTCAATAAACTGAATGATCTTAATAACTAATATACATATTCTCAACCGTACACAACAGCTGCACTGCCAGTTGAGTTTGCATAACTTCAAATTGCATAATTCTTTCTTCTTTTAATTTTAATTTTAATTTTAATTTCTGTCAATCCCTTAGTTTCACTAACTTTAATTTTCATTGAAAAATATGCAATTCAATTAATTTTAATATCCTTAATTTCAGGGGAGCTAGGACAGTTCAGCTGGTATAACAACTAGGTTACTGCCTGGACGGCCAAGGAACTGTGGTTCAATTCCTTGAAGGGGTAAAAACTTTTCTCTTCTCTACAACATCCAGAGTGGCTCTAGGGCCCTTACACAACGGGTGCTGGAGGCTGTTTCTCCGAGGATAAACCAGAAGGGGCATAAAGCTCACCACTCACCTCTATTTAGTGTCAGGATCAAGAATGGTGATGCTTTACCTCCACTCCCCATGTTTTCACGGAGTTAATGGAGCTTAATTAATTAAGCCTAGGGATAACTTTACATTTTATTACCTTACCATTAATTTTATCAATATATGAATCATAATGTTTTTGTTGGATCTTAGGTTCTCTCAGTGGTGATTATGAAGAGAAATGTGACCTCGTGTAGTCTGGTAGGAGTCCACAGAGAGATATATTACCTTCATCTTCAGGAACAAAGAGTATACCAATCAAGCAGTTTGGCTTATTCTTCAACCCTGAAGATGGAGGCAGTGTGTTCCTCCAAAACATCAGTGAATTTCTACTGGACACTGGACTACACAGCATCACATCACTAAACATGGACACTTCCTGAAGTTTTAATTTTAGACAAATAATTTCATTCTGTGTAATGGGTCTGGAACGGGATCCACTCAGCCTCGTGAGGATAATTGAGGAGCTATTTCAAGGAAATAGCGGCTCCAGTCTATAAAACCGAGATTAACAGCTGTGGGTATTCGTTGCGCTGACCACACGACACCTTCTATCCACTAAAGTTGGTACTAACTTAGCCGACAAGCAGCGGTTGCTCAGTCGGTGTAGTTCGCTTGTGGACTACAGGCAACAGAGATTTTTTTTTTTTAAATCTTCACCCAACGTGACACCTCAAAGAATTAAATTCTTAGTAATGGATCTTAAACTGGATGGGTTCACTGAAGAGACGAACAGATATGAACAAGGACAATAATATATCTATAGGTGGGGCAGAAATACATATAGGATTGAACCCCTGACACATGTAATAAAATTTATATACAATTTACTTCGCAAATTTTCTTTCAAAATGAAACACGGTTTGCATTATTCGGAGGGGCAGTCTAACCTGTATGAACTGTGACACTTACCCTCAAAATGATAGTCTCTGGGATACCTTCCTTGACGTCTTGACTCTCCCCACTGATCTCTACACCATTCCTCTGGATAGCAACTCTGACAGTCAGTGGCAATGGCGCCTGAAGTACCATCACTGAGACACGGTACACAATGCCTGGTCTCACCATGCGACTAGCTACCACAAAGTAAGTCCTGCATAACATTCACAAACAGACATTAACACTTGTAAGATTTGAGGCTTTCACGGCGGTGACTATGAAGAAAGCAGTCTTCTGGGATTTGGCACCGTGTATATGTGGTGTTAACCGACGTTTCGGAGGAACGTATCGCCTCCATCTTCAGGGTAGAAGAAAAAATATAAGAAATCTGCAAGCGAAGAGACATATTTCCAACACAGTCTGCTTTTACCGGTTCTCACGGTCTCTTCGCTTGCAGATTTCTTATATTTTTTCTTCTACCCTGAAGATGGAGGCGATACATTCCTCCAAAACGTCGGTTAACACCACACATACACGGTGCCAAATCCCAGAAGACTGCTTTCTTCATTCAGACATTAACACTTATTCATTTCTGAGCTTCACACCTACAGCGCCAACTCTATGGAAGTAGAAAACGGATTTCTATCCCTCACAAACAACCGCTGAAGTTACAATGTCGATACAATGTGAAGACTGTGATTTACAAATTCTTGAATTATTTAATGACGTTCTCTCCATTACACAAGTTCGCCTTTTCTCAAATGGGAAAACAGGAATAAGTTTGAAAGGCTGTGGAAGTGACTGTGACTGCAAGTACCAGCATTTCAGAGGCAACTGTTGCAACTGCTGCTTCCATCATCAAGGTAGAAGAGTACACCACAAAGGAAGAAATGGTGTAGGGAGGACATTGCTTGGAAGTAAGAGCAAACCAATGGGAGTGGTGTAAAATGAACTGGATCACATGGCAAATACCAGAACTGCGCCTCAAAATAGGCCATTGCTGCTTCTGTCTACATCCCTTAGAATGCATTATTCACTTACCATCCCTGCATTCAGTGCTATATAGTCTGAGGTACAGGCAGCATCAGTAAATAATCCATAAATAAGTAAGTATATAAGAGGATAAGTGGACTCACGCTTCATTGATAATGACGTTATTCTCCACCTGATAGGGATTTCTCACTGACCAGTCACTTCCTATTGGCCTTTTTGGGTCCACATCATTGATAGACGGCCTCTCTTGTGGTGCTACTGTGACCACTAGGAGAAGCAATGTGACAACAGTCCCAATCATCTGGACAAACCTAAAACAAACAAAAATATTCACTGGCAGATGCAAAAAAACAAACATTCTTCAAAACAGAAAGAGTTTAATTGGTGAGGAATAAAAGCTACCCCTGTAACAGGCCATGGATACCCATAGGGTTGTGAGACATCGAGGCTCCCACATTTTCTAGACAATCTGCTCACAGATGGCGGCAAGGTTGTCAGCCTTACGTTCCAGCCACCCAGGAAGATTCCTGGTACTTAATTCTGTTAGAGGCTGAGTCGACTCCAGGGCCATAGTGCGGATGGAAGGATTAGGTCAACTGAAAAATCCAATGACCTCAACAGGAATAAAACCTGTATATTACTAATTTTTTTTATTGCCTGTTTATTTACAATCTACTCTATAAAATACGAGTATTAAGTAAATTTAGTAGTCGATACAGTCAATGTAGGTGCTGCCAGCCAAAGCCAGTTCACCTTAGGTTACATATGTAAGTCTTTGGGCCACTGTCTTTTGAGCCTTCTTGCAACGGTTGGTTCACTGGTGAGAGCAGCAATCAGTTCATGTGTGTGATTCATATTCCTGTTTCTGTACACGTTGGCCTGGGAATTTATTACATCCCTGATAAATGGTAATTTTAGGTCGTCATGTAAGATTTGGTTAGAAACATACCATGGAGCATTTGTCATCATTCTTAAAGTTTTTGATTGGTATGTCTGCAGTATTTTAGTGTTAGATGGTTTAGCACATCCCCACAATTCGATCCCATATGTCCATATGGGTTTTAGTATGACTTTATAGATTATAATTTGTTTTCAAGAGACAATTGAGATTTTCTGCCAATAAGCCAATTCATTATCTTAGTTTTAATGGAGAATGTTTGTATCCCAGACACAAGCAGTGGGAGGTAAGGATAAGCACTCAGAAGAGAAGTTTGTGGTTCACCTTGTAGAAAATTAACAATGTTAACTGCATACAATCTTATATGATACAAAGTGCAGGCCACTACATCAAGAGAAGGGGGAAAGAGGATAGCAGGAAGTGCAGGGAGGTCCAGGAAGGATCAGTGAGCCTGAAGATAACAGGGAAACAAATGAACCACCCCAAAAAGGACAACATTAATATAAATTAGCTTTGAGGGTTAAACAAGGGGAGATAATGAAATATTTAGATGAAAACCTGGGAAGGGAAATGGCGGTAGTAGTGTTATAAATAAATGAGAATGATGCATCATGGGAGGAAGGTGAGGAACAGGGAGGACAACAACACAATGGGAAGCGTTAAGTACTACAACTATAGATAACTGTTGTACAGGGGAATGCAGATCTTAATTATTTGCGTATGAATGGCTGCTGCACACAAGTAAACTTGTTGATCTCCCTGTCTGAGCAGAACCATTATCTACCACAAGAAGTGTGCAAGAACAACTGAACTGTAAAACGTAAATTGAAAATAAAATCCGGAAATAAGCAACACGCATTTTAATACGATTACGGTTTTCTGAGTTACGACACCGGGTAATCTCATGCAAATGCTTCAGTGGGAACTGCTGTCTCCATTTCGCAGTTGAAGGCCACAGGTTCCACCAAAATGTTGATAACTGCCATCCAGGCTATAGGGTTTCCCCAAACTAAATGCTCACAAAACAGCATATGCATATTTTCCTTCTTATGTTCTAAAGTACAGTTACTCCTGTGTCTACGCATGAAGCCAAAATTATATATTGATGAGGGGGAAGGGGGGTACTGAGTAAACGCCATGCTACATGAAACCGGCTAGCCTTGTTCTACTCCAGCCAATGAACACCCACAGAAAGTATCCACTAGGAACCCAGATCTAGTCTGGGCATGAAGGCAAAGAACCAATTCTTGCTTGTGTCAAGAATCGAACCTCGGTCACCGAGCTATTTGGCTCATGCGGTAACACTTCTGACTTGAAGTAAGGGGGTGCCCGGCTTGGAAGTTTCATAATGGTAAAAATTACCAACGGTCCAGATCAAAATGACCCTGAAGAAGTCTTTAAGTTCCTCTGAAGCCTTCGGAGTCCGTGTTTATACACCTGGCCGATCCGAAGAGAAAGCGCAATGGATCTTGTCGCGCCCCCTCAGATAACGTTCGAGGGGTGTGTATGCATTACATCGGGGTCCCACTTACAGTGTGCCACCATGATGTCCTCCCACAAGGCAGCTGGTATCACTGCCCATTTCAACACAGAAGACTCTAAAGAATGTATCAAGTTTTTCTGAAACGTAGGTTAATTCCAGCATTTCCACAAGCGGTTAACACCGAAGGGTTGGAGTTCGAGACCTGGTAGGATCAAGAATTTTGTCGTCCAGATAGTCTATGAGGCCCACCCAGACTCCTATCCCGTGGGTACCGGGGGGTAAACAGGCCAAGGCGTGAAGCTGACAATTAACCTCAGCTAGTGCCGAGGTCAAGAAAACGTGGATCTCCACTCCGCCATACGTCTTCATGGCGTAGTGCTTAATTAGTTAAGCACATGGATAACTTTATTTTTTTTACCACAAGCGCCTATACCCAGAAAGCTGTACAGTAAACAACTTGCATTAAAAAAACGGTCCAAACCTCATAAGACCGAGTTCATTTCTCGTATCAGAAACAAAATAAAGAGTTAAATATAAAATCACATTCAAACTTTTTGCTTACAAAACTACAACAAAAGAAGAAAGCAAAGAACCAAATCCATTCGTACAATCTGCTGACTTTTCTTCAGACACAGAACAATAATAAATGTAAAGCCATAGAAATATTTCACAATTTCTAACCTGGAATAAAAGAAATTTCCTGTATAATACTTGATGCATGAACGTAAGAAGTTGACTGAAGCTAATGAGAATTGACATGACTTTCCAGCGAGGAAACTGTGCGGATTAGGACAAACCATAATCCAGCCCTCCTTTGCTATCCTCAGAGATCCTTACACTTGAACAATGGACGTTTAGAAGCACAGGCCAGCCGTTAACATTCAGTGAGGAACGGGGGGTGACGCCATTGTATGCTTACACATTTATCGGGGGGCCATGACTCAGTTACGACTGGGTGGTCAAATTCAACAAAATTATATGTTAACATATAGGGTGAGTCTTTCTTATTGACCCACTCCGTCCACTGCATTTACATCTCTACATTAATTAAGGTAACAGTCTAAAAACAAGTCAAAATGTATCACGAAGAGTAAGCGGCCTCCGTAGTCTAGGGGTAACGTTCCCACCTCATGACGCAAGGTACGCGGGTTCAAACCTGGCAGAGGTCGTGGAATTTTTAAGGGCGGAAAAATTCAGGGAACAAGTCCTCCGGGAGGGATTTACGGCATGTAAAAGATCCTCATGTCTCTAAGAGACCTCTGAACAAAATTAGGCAACAATTTCCCGCCCAAGTAGTTTCTGGTAGATGGGGGAAATATCAGGTACTGACGGCCGACCTCGTTGGCTGAAATCAGTAGAAATTAAAGGGGGACGCACAATGGACCAACAACTGGTCTAAGTGCATGGGGAAACCCACCCCCTCTAATAATAATAATAATAAATAATAATAATCACGAAGAGTAATATTTTATGTGACGCCGTGTAGTCCGGCAGAAATTCACTGACGTTTTGAAGAAACGTATAGGAACACTTGCTGCTTCATGTTGGTTACTTATTTCGATTAATTTTCGGGCTTGAAGATGGAAGTAATATCGCCTAAACATGAGTCAGCTTCTGCAATCTTCACTGTAAGTGTTGTTAAGAGTCTCAAAACGGAACTGTATCCTGTTACATGTAACTCAGCTGCCTCCAACCCCTTCAAGATACGGCAAGTTCTCTTCTTGTTCTTGCCAGATTACAATTTATTAAATGACGCTTCCTCAACTTTACTGATTACACAGCCCAAAATATGGGGACTGAAACTTGTAAACAGCTATTCTAAAAGCTATACCAGTGGACGCAGGAAACTATGAAACCCCTTAGGAAGAGTGCGGCCTTCTGGGTTGTAACGCCGTGTTGTTTGGAGATAGCTACAAGTTTCGGAGGAACGCATCACCTTCATCTTCATGGTCGAGGAGTAAGTAAGCCGTCTGCTGGTTTCTTCCTTATCTTACACTTCGACCCTGAAGACGGAGGCCGTGTTCCTCCAAGAAGTCGGTCTCTTTCCGAACTACAGGCGTTACAACGCAGATGGCCGTATACTTAATTAATATTGTGACATGAGTCAGAGTAGACGTTGATTACTAGGTAACGTCTCGGTAAACACGAATAAGCAACAATTTAGGTATTGTTGGGATAAGGACGGAAACCGTGTTTTCTGTGGATCCGCTCAGAGGCTATATAACAAGCAGAATGGTGGAAGTCTCTTGAGTCAGCAGTCGAGGATGACAGAGAAGAAATGACAAGAAAGGAATTAGGTTACGAAAGGAAGACTTCATGTGTGCTGCAGTTAAAGTGAGACTGGTGTAACTACTGTGTTGAAATCCGTTGCCAGGATACGACTAGTGAAAACTGAGAATCCTAGTGTGTAACGACGAACTGTGACGCGTGTAGATCAGCGATAACGCTATATTGCCTGTAGATCAGAGCTGTGTGTATAAGGTGTCAATAAATGCAATCCATACCCCGTCTATTCTCACACATAGCCCCAATTCGTGATTTATTTTTGTGAACTATTCTAAATACAGGAGCTCACTCAACAACAGAATATCCTGTACATGAATACGGAAGTTTCCTGTGAAACCGGGTGGTCAACGCCTCCAAATAACATACACACGCACACATTCCCCTTATCGATCTTTCTCGATTATCTACAATCCGGATCCGACCTGAACAATAGGGACTCCCCCCACGGCTTAAGCTTATTCAATTCGCAATGGGAACGGAGAAACCCTCAGCAACCGTGACGACGCAAAGCCATTGCGGCTCGAGACTCCATGGAATGCCGCAGGGTGACAAATCCCACGTTTCAGCACATACTGAGACGTGTAATCCTTTCAAGACCGAATTCCTTATAAATAACATAAACAAATTTTGATCGTACCTCACAG